TCCAGGTCGGGCTGAATTCTGTAGCCCAAATGTCTTTACTCCCCAAAGAAGAAGGAGAGGAAACAAAGAGCTTCTTTCCAGGGAAGCTTCATACCTGGTCACATTTCCCAGACGTCGAGGGACACTTCAGGTTCAACCAGCCCGTTTGGCGCTTTTTCCTGTGGCCTTTTAGCGGTGGCGAGATTGCGGGGGGAACCGTGCGGAATTGCGGCCGGGAAGAGACAGTGATTACCGAGGCATCCCGAAGTCGCGGCCTGGAATATCCTCGATGAAGGATTCCAGAGTGGAGCCAGACGGGGCTAAAACCACGGAGAAAAGTCCCGGGGAATCTCGAAAGCAGGCGAGTGCCTAGCCGCAATTGGTCACCCGCCGACTCCACTGAAGCCGGGCATTGGCTATTCATGTGTCCACCGGGCATTCATGTCCCTGGGAATTTATCGGAAGATGTAAGGACGCCTTCGCTATCCCGCTGCCATTAAATTCGCCGTCGTGGTTTCCTTGTCGGACGGCCGTGGGACGCGCAACCCCGCGGACTACCATCAGCGCTTGGATCGAATTCGCCTTGATAAGGGATTCCACCAGTCCCATTGAAGAATTCATGGTTCCTACCTCTCCTTTAGAACCTGTGGCAGTTTCCCCTGGACTTCTGACCCTAGAACTTGTCTAATTCCACCTAAAACGAGTGATTCCGGGGCCCCCACTAACCTTAAGGGATCCCTTCAGGTGTTGGGTATTCCGTTTTCCACGTCCCCCGGCTAATCAAGACCCGTGATTTCCGAAAGATCTTTTCTAAAACGTTTACTTTGATGAAATATAGAGACCCGATCACCCCCCGATCCATTACTGTCGGTTGGAAAATTTGTACGAGTTTCTATAATGGATCTACTGCTCGAAGCCGGATCCTTTAGGGTGTTGGGTATTTCATTTTCCACATTCCCCAGCTAATCGAGACATACGACTTGCGAAAGAACTTTCCCAAAGTGTTCACTTTGATGAAATATAAAGACCTAATCATTTCCCGATCCATTTTTGTCGATTAGAAAGTTTGCACGAGTCTCTGCGATGGTGGGAGCCGGATAGCGTCTCTTAGGGTGTTGGGTATTTCAGTTTCCACGTTCCCTGGCTAATCCAGACCTGCGATTCGCGACAAACCTTTACCAGAGCGTTCACTCAGGTTGAAGACGGATACTCGATCACCTCTCGATCCATTATTGCTCGTTGGGAAAGTTCCACGAGTCCGCTGATCGGAGCCCGACGAGGATTTATCGATTCCTCGGGCCGCTGAAAGGCGCGTGCCCGATCGGGTCTTAGCGAACCTCCCGGCGAATTACGCACGAATTGCGCATCGGCCGTGATAAATCCCGCGTTTCCGAACAAATCACCGCCAGGATCGAGATGCCATCTACGTCCGCAGAGTGGTCGGCTTAACCGGGAGCGTAACCCACAATGGCTGATGCATGGCCGCAATTATAGGCTTGCGTAATGCAGGGGACCGATTAATCACCCACGATTTACGTATTCGTCTACGCACCAGCAGCATTTAACCTGGAAACGTGATCGATCACCCCCTAGCTAGTTATCCCCAAAATTTGCTATAAAAGTTGAACCTACTCATCACCAGCGCCACCAGTTTCCCTACTTCTCTAGGGTTCATTTTTTTTAAATATTTCCTGACATGTCCTGCCCTGGAATTCCTCACCAGGTGGTTCGACGTGGTCGTCGAGACTCCGCGGATCCAGCGAAGGGTATAAATCACGGTGGATCAATTAGACACGAGGGATCGCGAGCTGATGATCTCGCGGAGTATCTCGAGCCGGCCAGGTGCAAGGTTCCCCCTGGCGGGACGGCCAATTATCAGCATTCCGGGGCATTATCCTCGGAGCGAGACTTACGCGGTGTATAATTGCCCGGGCTGCTCTTCTCGAGCTTCCTGCCGCGTACTTATGCTCTCGGGTCCCTCTGGATGGTACCGGGATGGCCGCAGCTAATTCCGATTTTTCAGATTCCAGTCTCCTCCCCCCAGAGTGCTCCCTCCCAGGAATCTGGAGCCTGGAATCTGGACGTCAAGGAAGCGCAAAACCGAGATCTCCACCCACCTGTAATGACTTTGTCATCGACGCCTTAATGGGACCCTCAATGATCCTGGTCCTAGGTCTCAGTCTAGGCTAGACTACAAGAGAAAAGGACCTTTAATTTTGTTCCCAAACGTAGCTGTCTCTACTAGAATCTTCAGGGTATCAAAGTCTAGGTGGTTCTATCAAAGTCATTTAGGTACCGAGTCTCGGTCCATCTTCCAAACAACCTGGCCGTCAAAAAAGCGCCACCTGTCTTCGTCACCGACGTCTTAATGAAACCCTTAATGACGGTAGAGTTCCCGGAGGAAAAGGGCCCTTCAATTCCGCTCCCAAATGTAGTTGGCTCTGTCTTCGAGGTATCAGGTCTCGGCCCACCATCCAAATAAGGACGGCTTCCGAGGTAACGACGTAAAGAGCGCGATGGTTATCCGAGCGATCCCGGGTTTCCGCGAGTCCCAGAAGCTGGGCCTGATGCGTACGTGCAAAGGTGTGCGCGTACCTGTGTGGGCCCCTCTCGGAGAAGAGATGATCTCCCTCGGAGAGGAGCGGTGGGCCGTCGTTGCGTAAAGAATCCCTCGATCGGCGGGTCCCTGGCGATCTGGGAGCGATCTCGGCGATGCTTCCGTCATGTTAAGGGGTCCCATGGAGGGCCGGCAGTCCGAGGGGAACCGGGCCGCGGATGAGGCGGCCTCCGGGCCAGAGGCCGGCTCGAGGCGGCCCGATATCAAGATCGCTCGTACAAAACTATCGTATCGTTTAAATACGCACTGAAAGGTGAGGCGATGCATCGGGAGATACGCCCGGTGGCAGCGCCGGCCCGTCCGTCGATCTTGCCCGAAGATACCCAACGCTGGAATCCATGGGAACCACGGAGAACCAGGCTTAACGCGTATAACCCCTTCCAAGGGGACCATCTCCCGTCCCTGAAGTCGAGGCCAGGCCAACGCGAGGAAGTCCATCTTGGTGACTCCGAGTCTTAGATGGAAGGATGCTGGTGATCCTTGGTAGCCTTGGATCTGGTGGAGAACCAGCTAATGTGAATTTGCCTATGTGATGATGGACTTAGAGTTTGGTAGAACCTGGTTTAGGAAGGTACCTTTGAAAGGATATTCAGATGGAAGGTGCTGGCTTCCATGGAAACTATGGGGACCAAGGCTTAACGCATATAACCCTTTCCAAGGGAACCATCTCCCATCCCTGAAGTCGAGACCAAACCGACGCAAGGAACGGATGACTCCCAGTCTCGGATGGAGGGATGCTGGTGATCCTTGGTAGCTTTTGATTGCGTGACGAACCAACCAATGTGAATTTGCTCATGACTTGTGACGAAGGATTTTAAGTTTGAAGTCTGAGATAGCAACGCTAACTGGTAGGATTTGGTCTAGGGAGACGTCTAGATGAAGTTTGCCGAAATCGATGGGTTGCAGCATGGGGTTGCGCGTTCGGATGCCCATGGATCTTCGATAGGTGTAATTGGGTTAAGGTCACCGTCAGCCTTCTGGAATTCAGCTCACGGAGAGCCAAGGGAAGGGTTCGAGCATCCGCAAAGAGGACCGGGCGATGAGAAATAAGGACCTGGCGAAGCCCGGATGCTCGGCAGGTGAGAGACAAATGGGCCGAGGGGAGCATAATCTGCCGGACCGAGAGGGGTGCAACTGGCGCACATTGTTCCCTAATGATGGAGTGGAAACGTGACAGGTGAAACCCAATACACGCCCGGAATCCCGGAGCACCCACGGACCCAAGGACTGTGGGACTCGTGCTGCCCAGAAGACCCCTCCACTTCTCCTATTGGACCCGAAATGATCACCCATCGGGTCCTCGAGTACCAGTCTCTCCTACAAACCAACCTAATCAAAAACCACGCAATTCCTCCAACTTCGCCCCTAAAACTGATCAAACTTCCTGACTTCAAAGCCAAGAAAAATACCACCAACCCTGAAGAGGCTATTCTCTAGGTGCACTGTTCATCGGATGATCATGATCGTCATTACCAGACAGGAATAGATTCCTATTTCCGACTTAGATCCCCAGATAGAGGCCTAAATTGGTGCTCTTCGTCTCGCGATGCCACGCCAGGGGGAGGATCACCCTGAAGAGCGGCTCTCGTCGAACTTTCCGAGCGACCGAGGTAGCCTGGCAATTTGCGAGGGAGCTTCGCGGTTTAGTGCACTATTAGTCTTATTATTGGTATCATCGCGAATCGGCTCGGGATCTGCGAAGCCCGGTAAGCCTCCGTGAAGATGGCTGATAGGACCCTGAAGAGCCGATACTTAGCCGAGGTCTATTTCGTCACGGAAGATCGGTACGCAGCATTCCGGAGCTGCCCCGATTTTTCCCACCTCGACCTCGGGAAATAGCCTTCACCTTCCAAGGTACACTCCTTAGGCACACAATGTGCAAGGCATACAGTGCACTCCGGGAATGCAATTCCCCCTAAACGGTGCTCAACGAGGCTGCAAACTACCATCGCCTCGAATCCCAGAAACGCGATACCACGATTAATTGCCTATCATCCAGTGAATGGGACAATTTTTAGTTCCTTTTAATTAGACCTCCAAATCCTTCCATGAATGGATTTTTTCCCCTCCATGGGGACTTCGATGCGTGGCCAGGAGGTGTCAATTTCTCGAAGAAGGTCCAGAGGAGAGCTAATTGTCTTATCCATTTAACGATGTGTAATCCGATTTGTTTTCGGCCGATCCGATCGCCCCCTCTCCATAACCGGTGGAGGTCCCTTTTCGGATTGCTTTATTTTCGGGGCAGCTCGGTCCCGTTTCCCATGGAGATCAGGCCCGGGGCCTGAGAGGCTTGATCGGGTTTTACGCCGTTAATCGATCGCGATCGACTTCCGGAAGGACCTCCCTCCGAGTCTCTTCGACTCGGCGAGTTTAATGGAACCGGGCATGGCGTTTCTTTTTACAGACACGAGGGAAACTGGCTTCGTTAACGCCATCACGGCTGCTGGGGTGACTTATGCCGTGACCAGAGCCTGCACCATGGGCGACCTAGTCGAGTGCTCCTGTGATAAGATGACGAGTAAAGGTGAGAGTGGAGATAGTAAAGGTACTGGTTGCACTCTTCGTGGGTCTTCCTGATTTTCCGTGACTCTTCATGATTTTTCCTGACATTTCATGGTTTCTCGGGTCCCTCCATGGTTTTTCCTGACTTTTCATAATTTCTCGTGACATTTCACCGTTTCTCGTGTCTCTTCATGGTTTCTCGTGACTCTTCATGGTGCGTAGGCAGCCGCGCGAAGCTTGCAAGGTCTTCGAACGATCGCAGCAGGCCTATCCCTGAAGAAGGGGACTGGGAATGGGGAGGATGCGGAGACAACGTCAACTTCGGCTTCAAGAAGTCCAGAGATTTCATGGACGCGCCTTATCGGAAACGCAGCGACATCAAGACCCTGGTGAAGCTGCACAACAACGACGCGGGCAGATTGGTAAGCCTTTTCCCTGGAATGACAGAATTCCTCCTAAGGGGCAATATACAGTTGTCATAGGCGAAATTCAAGAATTTCTTTTCATAACTAAAGTGCATTTTTTAATCGAAAACAGAACGTGAGTTCATAGTACAATTACTGAACTTAAATTAAAAAACATAATCTCTATATATGTTTATAAATTATTGAAACTAAATATGTCATCGAGGTTTCTAACAAATATTTCAGATATCTTCGAATGAAATATACAAGACATCTTAAAAAATCTGTCGCTTGAGATATTTAGCAAAGATTACAGACAAATATTTAGAAATTATTCTATGCTACCAGGGAGATAGTTCATAGTTTCGGCAAGAAGAAGCGGTAGTTCGTGACTTATTTTACATTTCATCATTAAAATCCATGATTTCCTGAGTGAATAACCCCCTATATCGATACGCACACCATACATAACGACCGACCAGGGCAATAAATTCCCGTCGACCTGGTGCTCTATTCTCAGGCGGTGAGGAACTTCATGAGGACCGAGTGCAAGTGTCATGGACTCTCAGGGTCTTGCACGGTGCGCACCTGCTGGAGGAAGATGCCGGCCTTTCGGGAGGTGGGAAACCGACTGAAGGACTCCTTCGACGGGGCGGCCAAAGTCATCCCCGGGAACGACGGGCACAGTTTCATCACCGAGGGCCCGACCATCAAGCCCCCTGGTAGGTTCGACCTGGTGTACAGCGAGGATTCCCCTGACTTCTGCAGACCAAACCGGAAGACCGGCTCCCTGGGGACCCAGGGTCGCCAATGCAACGCCACCAGTCCAGGGGTCGAAGGTTGCGAGCTTCTCTGCTGTGGCCGTGGTTACGACACGAGAGTCGTCAAAGAGAAGGTCAACTGTCAGTGCAGGTTCAGGTGGTGCTGCGAGGTGACCTGCAACACCTGCGTGGTCAAAAAGACCGTCAACACGTGCCGCTAGTCACGTATCGAGCCGCGTCCACCCCGTTTTCCGCGATTCTCGCCTCCCACAGGCAAGATATGGAAAAATGCTTCCAACAAAAGTAACTCATCGGCAGGCGACGAGTAACTTTCATGGGAATGATTTTTTTGCTACTTGCCGCGGTTCGTCGGTAGCGCCCTTCATTTGGACTCGTGCGCGGGAGGTTTGATCCTTTTGTCGAGTGCCATGATTCTTGGACCCATGGGGGTTGATCATTTTTTCCCCCGCTACTCTCCCCTTGCAGTATCCTCGAGCTTAGCTGAGTGTTTCTTTTTTGGCGATTTTGTTGCCGCAATATAGTTTTTTCAGCTTTCTCAATCCCCCGGTACTGTATATTGCAAGCGGAGGCGCGCGCATTGTACTCGTTCAGCACTCGCGAGAAACTTCGAAGAAGTTCTGATAATGTCGATAAGAAGTGAGGATTGAAGTTCGAGGAAGGTTTCTTACTCTCGTATATACCCAACGCCTTGTATAACTCGTTTAGTATGTGTTATTACCCGCGGCCCCAAACTCTCGTCTTTTGTACATAAGACTGATATGTTTCCTTTTTTATAAATATACTACATCCGCAATTTCTCTGTGTCTCTTCAATGAAAATCCCATAACCCAACCAGCTACATCTCGATTATGGTGAAAAAAAAACGGATAAAAAAAATTACTTTTCACCCGACTCCCCCAGGTGGGTTTGAACCCTCGCCGAAGGTGGCCTCGACGTTAAGGTGAGTCCTGTTGTCGGCGAAACTTGAAACCTTCGTTTAATTAAACAGATTTTAGAAACAGCCTCGTAAAAAGCCATCGAATGCAAAGTATCGCGCACAGAATCTTCGGTATCACTTTTAGGAACCCTGGGGAACCGAAAATGATATCCCCCCAGCGTTCGTCGCGCGTGTAGAACACGTTCTCGGGCTGTAATTTCTCTTTATAAGGGAGTCCGCTGTCCGTTAGTTTCAGGACCGATACCGAACTCCTGTCGACATGTCCTATAAAATAGTTTTACGGCGAGCCGCGGAATTTCGCGTCCCCATAAAGCGTCACGGGGTGTATACGTGCCGTCGCGACGTCGCTGGCACGCCATAAACGACGCCGACGGCGTCCTCCCAAGGGACACAATCTCTAAACGACCAATCCAGAGATTCCCTCCATTTATTGGGCGTTCAGGATAAAGCAATTAACAGGTCGACCTTTATCGGAGTATCCGAGGCTCCAAAACATTCGCTCCAATGCCGAAGTGCAGAAAATTAAAGCGAAAACTGTCCATTTTACCGAAATACGGAGGAGAAGCGTGATCCAAAATGGCGGCGCCGCGTCTTTGCGCTCGGCGTATCCGTAAGACGTGGCTGTACATTTTTTGGATTCTGGGACCCAAGACACGGGTTAGATAGACTTGAATGAAAAGACTTGAAGTCCGGTAAGTAGAATTATTAATTTTCCGCGATTACGCGGAATAGGGGAACAAGACGAGGGCCTTATAAGGCCCTTTGAGCAGGAGAGGTGCACTGCTGGTGGCGCAATTAGCCCCACCTCGGTTTCGGTAAGGCGCGATTAGCCCATGGCCAGGAGATTGGTCTGTTCCCCGTCAGCTGGGTGGTCCAATCCCGAGGGATAATTTGGGCCTACGCGTAGGCTCGGAGAAAATGGCCACCTCCGAAATTGAGCCCGGAAACCTCGGACGCCATTTTTCTCCTCGCACGAGAACTGCAGCGTCCCTTTGCCTTCCCAGGCCGCCATTGTTTCTCAAAGCTTTTGTGAAAGAAATTTGAAAAAGGAAACGAATCAAAGAGTACCAAAATTATCCCATCCACTTTTTCCATTGTCTAAGTAATGGATCATGTGAAAGATCCTTTTCTTTCCCCATTTTCTAAGAAACTGTTCAGGTCTTCTCAGTAAGAACGTTCTCCATTCCGGGATAGGAAATCCCCTCGGGGCTCGAGGGACATTCCCGGGTCCTGTTTCCCATCGGCGAGTCGCAGGGACGTCCGGCGACGTCCAGCAACGTCCGACAACGTCCGGCGACGTCCGGCGACGTCCGGCATCGCAATTAATCACGGGCGCGTTTGCGGTTTTGTTGCGCGGCACGCCCCGCGCTTGTTCCGCACTCCATCTTGGTACCGCTCGGCATTGTTCCGCTTTTAATCGTTCCGGGAATGACCGGATTGTTTCCCGTGGGAGAGTTCCAGGGCGGCCTTTCATCTCCCGCTCGACGTCGTCACGCTTTCGGGGATTCCTGGCCGAGAGAGGGTCCTCCGCTCCCCGAAAGGGACCCTAAAAATTCGACAAAATTCGATTACGATTTTCCGGGACTTCCTTTAGTCAATGTCGGGGCCCTACGGGCCCAAACGGGCCCCGGGTGCATCGGCGGGCCCCATGGAGGCACTAAACCCGGCGAAGGTGGACGGCACTCGCGCCCCTCCTCGGCCGCCGATATTAATTAAACGAACCCGTAAGCTTAACAAACTGACCATACGTTAGGCAGTTTATAGGGGTCCCGCGTGGACGTTAAAATGTTCCAATCTTAATTAGGTAGGTGTTTACAGGAGGATAATTCCGCGGGCTTAAGCGCCCGCTCTCGGGAAGCGGCCACCGGGCGCGACATGCGCTTCTCCGCTACAAGGAGGTCACTGAAATCTTTATGGGCCCCGTCATCTCCTCTCTCCCTTGCTCGCCAACATTATACCACATTATGGTATATCATAGGGACTCCGGCCCCCGCCTGCCCCTCCCCTGCTGACATTCTGGAAACCGATCCCCGACTAATACACTCGGTTTCGGCTTGCGTAAGCCTGGACCAGTGACGCGGATGCTGGACCTTATGGAGAACTCATAAAGGGAAAAAGTTACTGTGATTAGAAAGGACGAAAGTAGGGAAACGTGTATGTAAAGATCGACTCCATGTTCACGCCTAAGATGTGGAAATTGTTAGTATCCTAGAACCTCTTCGAACCTTTTCAGACTGGACCATTGTGCCCCAGCATGTGTTGGTCATCTCTTGTTATGTCCATCTGAAAGTTTTCCTACCTTCTTTCTATTTAATCAAGGTAACTTCTCCATGGATGTGTGGTTAATGGAAATGTTAGCGTGATTAAATAGGACGAAGATAGAAGGAATTGTATAAAAAGGACGATATCTAAGATGTGGAAATTGCTGACACCGGGCCATTGTTCCCCAGGAAGGTGTGGTAGTTGTCTCTCCTGGTGTCCAAGGTTCTGTGGCACCTCGGTCGCATCTTCCCGGAAGCTTCTCCCATAGAATCTCCTTCGAGCCTCGCGGATGCTTCAAGAAATCCCGGACCAGCGAGGGGTCGCTAAATGCGGCTTCTAACTACTTCTAACGACTCCTAACGCGTTCCTAACGAGCTCCAATTGCTGTTTGCACAGCGATCCCCTCGGCGAGCGTTGCTACCGGCCCCTCCAGCACCTCCGCGAAGCTGGGGCCCCCTTCAGGAAAAGCGAAGACCTGAACCGAGACTTACAACCCACGTGGTTTCCTGGGTACCATCGATGCCTGTTCTTTGCACAATTCCACGGTAATTGGAAAGAAAGGCTCGGCTTCGCGCTAATTCGACGATTCTAAGGTTAAGCCGCTCGCTGGACCGATCAGGAAAGTTTATTCGGATTCTTCCTGAACACCGTCCTCGAGAGATCTTGAATAAGAAAAATGTTCAAGGATTAGGTAGATTGGTACTGTCCGTTCCAATTGGTGACGAGTGAAGTGACTCCGACTGGCTTCATGGCTTCCCCCACTCCACGGCCGCTCCCCTCCACTCCCGCGAGGAGGCGCGAGAGTGGGGGGAAAAGCTATGAAGCCGGTCGGAGTCACTTCGCTCCGCTCTAAACTAAACGCTGCACGTCATTAACGTATCGAAGCCCTCGCTACCTTTGTAATAAGTTTAATGTTTCCTTTCTTTGAAAAATCCCGGACAGCGTCGGAATTTTTCCTTCGCCGAGGAAAGGGCAGTGAGAGGGTCGAGAAGCGAATTCTCGTTAGTAAGAAGTCGTGAGTCTAGTGGAGAACGGAACGGAGTAGATGCACCAGGTGCAGCTGCATCTCCGCGTCCGTGGAGCGGGGCGTGTAACTACTCGCGTTAGGGTTAATTAACCTTGACACACCTGAGATATTTCCCATTGTACAGTGTCGGGGATCGGCCCCGACCGCTAACGTACTTCACGCTTCGTTCGAGCACCGGTAACTGAACTTCACTAAATGGCAAAGTTGGAATGCGCTCTGAAACTGGGAGTCGCTTCGGGAACTGACGTTCTACCGACAACAGCGAAGGCACGATTACGCGCCTATCAGTGATATGGCGACTGCTACAAAAAATTGTTTCCCACAAACATTCTCAAGGAGACCGAGAGGAAGAAGTTTCGTCTGAACTATTTTCCTAAATTCTGAAGCGATCGGTCGGAAAATTGGAAAATGGCGAAGAGTACGATACGTTTGTAGAGGTACCAGCCAAATTACCACCATTTCTCGAAGCTATCAAAATGCGCGATATGGCAACTGCTACAAAAAAGTGTTCCCCACCAAAATTGTCGAGGAGACCGAAAGGAAGAAGTTTCATCTGAACTATTTTCCTAAATTCTGAAGCGATCGTTCGGAAAATTGGAAAATGGCGAAGAGTACGATACGTTTGTAGAGGTACCAGGCAAATCACCACCATTTTGCGAGGCTATCGAAGTGCGCGAGGGATACCACCGCGCGGGCCCCGAAGTGGGCCCGAAGTGGGCCTCTTCTCATGGTTCCCATCTCTGTGCTCCACCGGAGAGCGCATCCTCGAGTATGCAAGTCGATAAATATCCCGGTGCACATAGCGAGGCTTGCTCGCACATCGGGAGGACGACATTGTGGTCGTGGTCATAAAGCCGGCCGAGAGAGCGATCCCTTACAATATACTTGCGCGATGGGGCCCTACGCGGGGCCCGGGGCCCAACCGGCGCGCGCGCTCGTGCACGAAATGGCGCGCCGGGCGTAGCTGGGGCACC